TGATGGCTAACAGGAGCTTTGTGATTTCATGATTTCAGGGCAAAGACGGCACTGCAACAGTACCTGGCATGATGGGAGCAAGCCTGGGCACATGCGAGCACCCCACGTCCTTGTTTAAGGAAGTACAGGAACTAGCCTCATTTGATTCCTTCTATTTGCACAAGTCACCTTGGACTGCAGGGAGCTGTTTTGCAAAAGCAATTTAGTAGGCTTAGATCTCATTCATCTTGAGAACATTTTTTGAGGTAGTAATTTCCTCAGAGGACTGTGTTTTGTTTTGTTTTTTTCTGAGCTACCTGGACTCTTTATTAGAACAATCAATTATTTTCCTTTGGACCTACAATTTTTTGCCTATGCTGCAGCCACTTTGTGAGTGAGAATGAATGAGTGTGTATGTGTGTGTGAGTGTGTACATGTGAGCCAAATGAGTGGATGTGTGGTTGAGGGATACCTCAGATTTTTCTTTTCTTATTTTGTGTGAAAATCTCTTTTCTACAGATTTTCCAGGGTTTAAGCATTGCTTGCTGTATAAAAAACTTTACTGAATTATATACAGTTTGAATGAAATGTTATTTTAAAAACAAAACAATTGTTTAGTGTTCCATAAAGGTTATGTTGAATTTTGGTCAGATGAATATTTGTAAGTAAAAAAAAAATATATGCACTTCTGAACCTCAACTTACATAGATTTTCTTTATAAAAACAAAAACAAAAAAAGAAAAAGTTGGCTATAGTTGGCCTGAATAACAGGCACTATACATGGTGCTGTGCAAAGTAGTAAGCTAGCATCTCACTGCTAGCCTCTTACTGCCATCAATATTAGCAGGTACAGAGCCTTTTCTCAGCCTATTTTAATACATTTTCAGGCTTCTAAGTCAGAAGAACAGGGTGGAGTGGAGTGAAATGAGGTGACAGACTCACTATAGTTTTTGTAAAACATCAAAGGGAAACTTAACTAACTACTGATAGTGCAAGCCCAGTCATGACTAATGGGCCACCCCAACAGGAACTGTGGACCGAGCACTGTCCTAAATCCTGGCATTGGTGTGGCGGCTTCTGGCAAAATTTAGGCATGGAACTTTATGCTCTAACTAAATGGAGGTTGTCACTTCCTGGAAACAAAGTCAGATCACTTTGTGCTTCCTGAAACAGCATATCACTGTGAAACTAGAGTGTTCTACAGACACATCTGTGGAAAGAAGCAAGGACACAAGGTAGTTTAGAAAGCTGTCTTTCTCTTAGCTTATCTCAGCAAATTTTATACTAATTGCTCAGGAATGCTAAATGGTGTACTTTTGTCAAATAAGATCCAAGCTCTTTTCCTGCATGAAGCTAAAATGACTCAAGCTCAGAGGAAGGAATCTCCCCAGGATGACTGAAGATGACTTCTTTTTATAGTGTGTACTGCTTAGCCCTTCAACCACCCTTAGCATCTACTCTGGCTTCTGGGGCAGCTTCCTGGTGAACTCAACAGTTTGCTCTTGACTATTTAAAGGTAGAACCAGCTTCCTTTTCCCTTTGCTAGAAGATCAGAGGCATCGAGGCCAGGATGTGAGGCCTTCGATCCAGAGCTTGCGGTGAGTGTGTGCGACTGAGGGCCCCACGCCCACCCACCAGCCCACTCCTGATGGGTTGTTCACATTGCAGCCTCTCAATCACCATCCTGCACTTTCCTCAGGAGATTGAAATCTGACTCATTGCAAATGATGTTTTTAACACTTAATGCAGTGTTTCTTTTTCTCAGAATGACCACCCAAGATTCAAACACAGAAATTTCCACGTCATTTTTTTTCAGAACTTTGCATATTTTAAAATCCATTGTAACAGGAACATGGGTTTTATGCACATAGCAGAATGATAATGTGAGCGAAAGTTTCAAGAGAACCTAATATATTGGGAATAAAGCCTTACTTAGGCCCACTCATTGTTATTTCTAGTAATGAAAAAATATTCTCAGTTGACGTTTGTAGCACAACACACTCTAGTGCTGACACTAAAAAGTACAGGTAAATATAAGGAAACCAATAATGAATGCTGAGACAATCTTGAACACAAATAGTATTAGAAAGCTGAAGACCCAATGAAGTAGCATATTCACACTTCCAACTCTGGATGAATCTTGCCTGCAACAACAACAACAAAAACAGTAGGCAAATAAAAAGTGCTTTATGATAATTAACTTTGGATTTGAATGAATGAAGGGAAATGTATTTATTAAAACAAAGCTGTTTGCTGCTTACACAGGTGCAGTGCTCGGTCGCAAGGAGGTGGGAAGCAGGGGTCATGGTCTTGTGTCTACCGCCCAGGTTCTCAACTAAGCTTCTTGCTCTCTACTACTGCATTCTGTTTCTCCTTTTGTGCCCTGATTGTAACCCAAAATTTATGAACTAGAAAAGAATGTCCAATTTAATAAGTTGCATTTTTCCTTAAGCACTTTATTCAGAACAGTACATGTTCTTCTTCTAGTGTTTGGATAATATGATTTTAACACATGCTAATAAAAGCCAAGAAAAATCATGGCAACTTCTAAAAAGGAGTCTGTTTTCCAAATGCCTGGAATATTAGGAAATATTAGAAGATAGTGTGTACTGTCTTCTGGAATCTGTGTTTCTTTGTGCCCAAAGGGTTGAAGAGTGGCTTTGCACTTCTGACTGGAATCCAGTGTGCCTTGGGGCAGTTAGGGCTTCAGAAGCAGTTGCCCCATTGAAGACCCCACCCTCCCTGGCCTCCTGAAGACAGCAGGCCTTTGCTCAGTGGCCACTCCCAACCACTAAGTCACAGTCCCCTTGCCCTGCAGTGTTGTCTGCCTCATCCTCTTCTTACTTATGCCACACCTCCACAACCACCACCCACTGGACTCAGGTGGCCAGGCCTCTGCCAGGACACAGGTGCACTCGATTACTGTATGCTGCCTTTGCTCTGTCTTTGAGATGTGCACAGCGCTTCCCAACTCAAGCCCTCACTGGAAACAGAAACCTAAGGGTACCTGCCCCAGAGCACAGGAGAGAGGATAGTGAGATGGCTTGTAAGGAAGGGAGTTGTAGTGGCAGGGAACTCTGAGGGGACCTGAGAAGATAGAAAAGCCAGGTTTGCCCCATTTTTGTCATTACCAGGAGGAAAACCTGGAACTGAGAACTGAGTGAGAAAAAGAAAGAGGCACTCTTTCCCCTTGGTCCTCAGGGAGGGTTAGCAGGAAAGGGTTGAGGCACTTTGCCACCTGGGATGGAGACTGGTGCTGTCCCATCCTGCCCCTTGCACTGACCTTCCCTGAGTAGTGAGCAGAGGGGCATGTGTTTTGTTTTTCATGTGATGGAACTTTTGGTTTAGGACTTAGCTAAAGAAAGCCAAGGGAACCAGCCCCTCCTCCAAGGCCTATGGCGTTGTCTGCCAGGCTACCTTTCCTCTCTCTGGCTCTGCCAGCAAAGGCTGGCTTTGGCTTTGCCAGGCCATTGGCCATCTTACTGAGGCAGGGCCACAGCCAGCCCTTGGAGTGGAGCCACACTTCTTGTCCTTGTGGGGCGTCCTGGCCTCCTTCCATCAGGCACCATACTGAGGAGCTGGCAGCCCTCACTGTTCCATAGGTCCATCCCAAAGTAGCTTCAGTTGTGAGAAGCTGGATCCAGGCTTCCACCAGAAGTACTGTCCTCTGAGAGTGAGCAGGCCTTAAACCCCTCTCAGGAGTTCTCACCCAGCCCTCCATATGCCATTAACTTTGGGGGACGCCACAGCACCCCTGAGCAGCCTGAGTAATAGAAGGGTTTGTGTGTGTGTGTGTGTGTGTGTGTGTGTGTGTGTGTGACCATTCCTCCCTCTCTCTGGCCCTGTCACCCAGTGCCTCCTGAGCTTTACCCTGCCCAGCCCTGGCCCTCGTAGCTATTTCTGGGAAGGTTCAATGATTCATGAATGACAAAAATGCATTGCATCCTCAGCTTAGCTCATCTCCTGCTTTTAGAGGTTCCATCACTCCATCTCATCTCACCATGATGGAAGATCCTTTGCTTCCTGGCTTCTGGGGTGATTCTAGTCCATGGAACACAAACAACCCCCCCACACACCCCAGCTCATTCAGAGCTACCTGTGGTGTGGAAGCCTGAGTGTAGCGCTGTTCTGCTCCTCAAAGTCAGTTGCCAGATCAAGTCCACCTCTTGAGCCCACACACAAGGGAAGCTCACAGTGAGCTGTGGGCCTGCGTTTCCAGAACAGTGGGTCCTGCTTCCCTACAACTCTGCTGAGCACAATTTACAAAGGACCCTGGGCAGATCCTTTACAAAGGAATATGGGCATGGCATCTTCATCCAGAGGTGACAGAAGTCACAAAAAATAACAGTGGCCTTAAATGGTAGGGCCTACCTACTGCCTTGGGCCAGAAAATGTAACGCTGTCTTCTGGGGCCCACTGCCCATTTAAGGAACTTCAGGCCCTAGGAGTATGCTCTAGAGAAAACCAGCAAATGAGGGATTATTGGCATTTCCTTCATAGTGTGGAAGAACTCAGCCTTTTTCCTCAGAATAGGGTATACAAAGGCTTGGTGACCTTACAATAAGAGCAAATTGCCAAGAGGAAGTGGCAGGGCATGGTAATACTACCAGGACTTCTGTTCACTGTGCCCCTCAAAGGAAGTCCCTTAGAAGACTGGCAAAAGCCAGTTGGTGAAAGCTGGAGACAGCCTGGTTCCACTCAGAGCTTTCAGGTCTAAAATTAAGCCTTAGCAAAAGAAGTGAGGAAATACCAAGAAACTTAGTTGGCTCCTGCTTCCACGTACAACTTTCTGTGGCTTTTTGAATGTCCCAATTCGTGGAGAACCACAGATGGACAGACCAGATCTGGCAGGGTTAGGTGGCTGTTGTGCAAGCTGGTTCATACCTGCCCCCACAGCAGTGTGCTAGCAATGTCGCAGCCCACCTCATTGAACCTGAGTTCATAGTTAGCAAGTTAGCATTTATAATTGTTTATCAATAGGTTTATTGAGTAGGTTTACTGTTGGGAAGGCTCTGCCCTGTGTGACTCAGTATCCCCTAAGGTGATGCCATGTCTCAGCATAGTACAGTACAGTAACTCAGGCGTATTTGGTAAAATCCAAAAAAAAGTTTTATGTTCTATAGACTGTTTAATAAGGCAAGAGAGTACTATTATTTTCATTGTCCACAAAGGCCACTAAACCAAGGAGGCATTGGTGCACAAAAAGTTCTTATTGTGAGGTTCCTTCCATGCAGACACGAGTGCTTGGACGTTGCGTGTCACAGCCTTGTGCCCTTCCCTGGGTACTGTGCTCAGAACAGTATAGCATCTCCGCTCACATCCTCAGCAGCACACCTTCAGCCTCGGCACCTGTGGGATGACAGATGTTCTGCAGGACTTCTGAAACAGCAGCAGCCAGTCCTCCAGGCCATCCACTGTCCACAGAGAAGCAGGGAAAGCAAGAGCTAACTATATCACTGAGGACCCAGCTAGGGGGCAGGCTAGGAGGGACAGGACTATTAGGGATAAAGACTAGGAGAATGGAAGACATTTATGCAGCACAGGTGCTACCAGGTTATGGGCTTTACATCCTGTCTCCTTTTATCTTCACGACAGATCTGTGAGGAAGATGGACCTACTAGTTCAGGGTTATTTCCATTTCACAGATGAGGAAACTGAGGCACAGAGAGGGTAAGTAACTTTCCAGAAGGTATTCAGCTGAATAGTAGAGCCAGGATTCCTCAGGACCGTGTGTCTATGAAGCTTGAGCCCCCACCCTCAGGGCCTTTTCCTTGGCAGGAACCATGCTAGGTAAGTGGAAGTACATCTGCGCCCCAATCAAGATATGACACATCAAAACTCCAGTGGAGCCACTTCAAAGCAGTGCTTGCCAGAGGCCACATGGGCACTTGTTCCTGAGGTGCCATCTGGGCTCACACTGTTTCACTTCACTTGCTACCATCTGAGTCCAAAGAGACTCCAACTCGCCCAACTCTCACTAGTGTTTCCTGACTAGTTTACCCTTCTGCTGCTCCTAACTTGGCCTAGAGTTAACACCAGTGTGCCTCCTGTGACCCTGGGCACAAAGGAAATGCACATAAGTGCAGATGGAGGAGAGTTGGCCCTGGCAGGGCTGACTGAGGAACGATGTGCACTGGACTCAACCTGGGTCCCTTGTACCTTACTTCCTAGGACTTCCTGACTCCCTAAGCTCTGGTGCACTCAGCTGCTTCTTCAGCTGGCCTTGGGAAAAATTACCTCCCAGGGCCACAGGAAGGATTCAACAGGGTGCAGCACAAGCCAGCTTCTTGCCTGCCTTATCTTGCCCTCTGTCCACCTCATTGAGACAAGGTTGGTCTTTAGATCTTAAGACCATGAGCATACCAAACACTTATGGAACACATTGGTTAGGACCCAACCAGACACACAGGTTATAACCACTTCAGATCCGCAGTGGTGTTCCTCTCAAAGGTCCAAACCATACATGCTTTAGTTTTTCCTAGGATGCTCATCTCATCCCCTAGCCTTTCAACCTCGCCTCAGTCTCAAGGTGTAGACATACCTCAGCAGCAGGAATGGCACAGCCCTTCCCCTTCTTAGGCAGAGCTGTCATGTGTGCTCTGGATCCCTTGGGTTCTCACCCAGATTTAGAGGTGCTGATGGGTGAGGTGCACCTTTCTGAAGGCTGTGAGTGCCCCCCACAAAGGAGAAGGTCCTGGGCTCTGATCACCCAAGCCAGCGTGGGCTCCAGGACAGGGCCTACTGGGCAATCCCTGCTCTTCAAGCCCCGGGGACTCCACCACGGGTAGGTGGAGCATGGAGGACAGGAAGGAGCCACTTGGCTTTGAAGCAGGTTTTAGAAAATTACATAGAGCCAGGGATTTAGCTAAGCAGCACAGCATCTGCCCGACAACACAAGGCCCTGAGTTTGATTGCCAGTACCCAAAAAAAGAAAATTATATACATTTTCCCAGTGGTTTCCATGTGAAAATGCAAAGTGCCTTTTCAATGAAAATATGACTCAAAAATAAGCAGCAAAAAATTGTACTAAGGTATTGAGAAACAATATTACTGCTCTATGAAAACAAGTAGTTTAATACTAAAGTTACTTGATGACCCATATTTTCAGAACAGACTTTATTAGATTGAATTAATAGTAACCAAATACATACTTAAGCACATAGTCACAAATTCCTTTTCACTTCCAATTTAATAAATCTGCCTTGAGAACTTACCCTGAAAGGCTTCCGTGTTTTCATCTGAAAACTTAAAACTGGGGAAAAGCAATGCCAGTTCTCTGTCGGCATCTTCTCTGTCTCGGCTTCCATGGACAGCATTAAAGGGCATTTCTGTGCCATACTGAGCCCGAAGACTGGGAACATTGGTGAAAAGTAAAAGAAATAATTGCTTCCTCTGTAAAGAAAGGTTTTGCTTCTGGCAACATGACTTCATCTACCAATCAGCATGCACCCTCTATTTCTGTGAAATTACTTCTTTGTAGAGCTACCAAGAATGGTGTAGATGCAGCAGTAGCTGATAATAAGAGGCACACTGCTGGCCCAGTGTTTTACACACAGGATCTCACTGCTTGTGTGGAGCTATGAAGGAGAGAGCGCCATTCCCATTCAAACACACGAGTAAGATGTTAGCACAGACGCTGCGGTTTTGCCAGTGCTACTGTTAAAGGCCAGCTCCAAGGACTTCTGTATTTCAAGCACTGTTCTCACTGCCTGTCCTAGCCTCTTTTTCTAACCCAATTGCCTCACACACAAATGCTCTTGGCATCTTCTAAGGTATAACTGCAATTCCTGGGCCTCTTAATGAGTCCTTTCCTGTCATCTGGATCTCACAGTGTCAAACACCAAGGTCCATAGGTTTGGCATTGGTGACACCCAAGCAACTCATCACAGGGCCAAGGAGACCACACCAGACTGGTGTAGTATGATGACCATTGTACTCTGACTCCAGAGGGCCTCAAGACACCCCCAGAGGATGGGTGGGGAGCTGTGTCCACAATGCAGATTCCTGGCCACCCCCAGGCTATTACTTGACAACCCTGAGTAAGGCTCTGGAAGATGTATTCTGGGACTCTTCTGGCTAAGAGATACATCATGAGGACTGAATTGAGCAGCAGCCTCCATAAGAAGGTAGAGGAGGGAGGAACCCATTCCCAGGAGGTAGGTGCTTGACACGCTGGGCACCAGGATCAGAGCAGGAGGGTGTTGGCACCTCCTGGCTATCAGTGAGCTTTGTGTTGTCCACAGCGCTCTGCTCAGTGCCAGTGAGGTATAGGTTTTCAAATGAATGGAAGGACCACAGATGATGAGTACCTTTCAGGCTGTTCCCTCCTAGCCACATTGGGGTCACAGGGTCCCATGAGGTCTCGCCAGGCAGTGACCACTTCCTCGGTGTCCTCTGCTCTGGTGAGAATCAAGAGGTGGCTTGGCCCACTGCACATGTGATGTACCAGCTTTCCAAAGACCTCCTAGTCACAGGGAGGGAGAAGGTTGGCTTAGGTAGGAGCCAGGGAGGCCTACAGAGCATCAGGGAACCCATCCTACCCACAGGAGGGAAGTAAGCCAGTAAGCAGCCTGGCCACCCACCAGCATGCCACGGGAGACTTGGCCACTGTCTGGCCATCTCTGCCTGCTGTGGACAGTCCTGGGCAGGGCTAGTGACGACCAACCACACACTGAGAACCCCAAAAGGTGAGATTTTAAAGTGGACTCAGTTGGATTGGACATAGGATAATTATAAGAGATTATGCAGAAGCATTTAAAAGACCATATATGTGGAAATCATGGATGAATAGTGGATGGCCAAAAGTGGGATACAGCTGAGACTTCGACGGGGGTGCAGGTGTTGGGGATTGAACGAAAGGCTTCACACAGGCCAGGAAAGTGCTTTATGTCTGCTTTACATCTTCAGTGCCCCCTTTCATTTTTCATTTGAGTCAGAGAGGGTCTCACTAAGTTGCCCAATCTAGTCACAGTGTTACTGTCCTGCTGCTTCAGCCTCCTGAGCTGGGTTTATAGCCATCATTTCATTGAAGTCAAAATCTTTCTCTGCAAGCATTAAATTTTTACTTGATACAGGCTATAATCATTCTGAGAGCAAATTCAGGACCTACTTGCTATCCATATTCTTGTTCTTCATAATAATCTAGCTTTTCCCAAACTACTGTCAGTCTATTAGTATGATATTGGAGGACAGAAAGAGACAAGTGTTGAACAGTTAGAAGCAGATGAACAGACCTCTCCAGCTCTGTGTTGGTAGAAAAGTCGCATTTCTGCCTCTGTCATAGTTCTCTCTTCATGTGTTAGAATGTCAAACCCAGCTTCCTGGATCTGTAGAATATATAATAAGTATTTCAAAAGTGGTTTGAAATCAAGCCCAAATTTACATTTAACTTAACTGAAAGGTTAAAAAAAAGGCATAAAATACATGGGAACCCTCAGAGTAACTGTCCCAATCAGACTATCTTCATTTACTTGAGTGGAATTGAGTTATAACTCCTTAGATGCCTTCTGTGCCTTCTTTCCCCCACAGGACGCTGCTGGCAGATAACCCACCTCTGTGTATCCACCAGAAAGGACATGAGGACAGTCATGTAGGTAAGTGCTACCTCTCTTACCTTCATAATAATCTCATCAGTCTTTCCATGGACCACTGCATCTGGTTTAATGATGGCCAGAGTACAGGTCTTTGATGATGCTGAAATATGCAGCAGAGGTGCTGTTAGGCCGTGGTCTTGGAGGCTGTTGGGAGGGCCCCGGCAGAGACAGTACAGCCCCTGCCAAGGCTGCATGCACCACGTGGCAGAAGTAGGTATAGCTCCGCGTTCCCCCAGGCTTCTTGGCTGTGCCCCTGCAGACCTAGACTTCAGGAAAGTGTAAGGCTGGCCCTGGTACTCAACCTCAGTCTGGCTTTGAGGGGAAGAACCTGCCTCAGCAAACCTAGGGTGAGGGGACACATGGTAGAGAAAGTGCTGAAAGACTTTGGAACAGAAGCCCAGAAGCAACTGAATAGTTGGCCTGCAGCTGGGCAGGTGGAGGCGCTGGAGCAGAGGCAGCCGAGGCCCAGCACCCTCATTCCTTCCTACCCACCTCTCCTGATTCTCAGCCTCCTACTGCTGTCAGCTCCAGCAGCTACTTTGCTTTGGCTGCATTTTATCTTTCCTTAACTTTTCAGCTCCTGCACATGCTACCATCTTGCAACTTCAGTGCTGCCTTAGTTCATGTTCCCCTGAGAAGGTCAAATTGACCCATTCATTTTTTTTTAGGATTTTTGTTTGCTTATGTTTCATAGTGCTTGAGTCAAACCTAGGGTGTGTGCAAGGCAAGTGCTGTACCACTGAGCTACATACCCAGCCCCGGATGATTGCATGGAGCAGAGGCATCAGTCATAGGTCATTGGTTAGTCAGAGTCTACCATCCAATCAGCTGAGTAAGGAGGGCAGGGCCCCCCCCCCAGCCCAGCCCTCTGCTTAGCCCCAGGCTATGGGCCTGTGGGCTGGGAACTTAGGCCAGTTTGGGCCAATCCAGGAGCAGCTCTCCATTTCATTCTCACATATACAAATGCAGCCTTAGTGGGTTCTAGAATCAGCATTCTCTCACTGTCCATTTTCTGCTTCTCAGCTTCTACTGGTTGTGTACAAATAAATAAAACAGTGCCTACATTTAAGGACGGTTTTCTATTCTGAAAATCTGAAACACATTTGAACTGAAAGGGTATATGCTAAGATTTCCTTACAGAGACTTGATTTGGAAAGAAAATGGAGGTGGGAAGAAAGAAGATATAAAAAAAAGGAGGCAATAGTTGTTTCCTACAGGAACCAAATGGCTCTCACAGTTAGTTTTCTTTTCACACTTTGAGGTTTTCTTCCTTTCCTAAACTGTCTCCTTCCTTATTAGAATCCAACTGAAATGGTTCTTATCCACATTGGAAGAAATGACCTTACTACTGCATGTGATAACAATTTTAAAACTTCCTTCACTTTATCAGCTTAGCTCCTGAAATAATCTGGTTCCCCTGGCGTGCCAGTTACCACCTAGAGAACTCCCCAGCAGCAGCCTGTGGACCTCCATGGTCCTCACACTCCAGCCAGGTTGCTGTGGCCAGAGGCAAGTCCAGGTAGGCCTGCTGTGCCCACAGGTGCCCAACGTGTGAGCTAACACTTACAGAGTAAAGGAACAAGCAGGGTAGGGGTGTATTGTGTGGGGCGTGGGGCTTCAAGGAGGAAGGCTCTCTGGTGTTTCAGAAAGAGACACCAAAAGAAGCTTCAGCTTCCAGTTTAGATGAGCACTTAGAAAATACCAGTGCCATCACTTTGCATTATTGGTGTCATTACTACCTTATCATTTTATTAAGCAGAGCTAGGTGACGCCCATGAAAGTCATTCTTGTTACACATGAACATCATCAGAAAGATGTAAAATATACCCAGGATGCTGTTAAAGAGCAGAAAGGAGATTCCACACAGAATGTCCTAACTTGGGCAGTGAGAGGCAAAACATCCGATGATCAGTCTACCGGACAGTGCTGATTGCTCAATAACCAGATTACCCAAGCGGAAAACACACATCACTTCTGAACCTGCCTCGCCTTCTTGCCTTGCTTGCTGGTTCTGTACTCACCCACATCCTCCTCTTCATCATCATGTTTTTCGTGAGAAAAGCATTCCTTTTCTTCAGAAAGAGCCTCGTCTTTAATCTAGTACAAATTGGTCATGAGCAGAGCATAATTAGCCAGTTTAGATTATCACCAAGATCTTCAAAACATTAAGAATCAACAAAAATAAAAGGTCTAAATTATAGAGCAATAGTAAGAGGATGTCAATATTATCAAAATCTTAGACATTTTACAAGATCTTTTCCAGTAGCTGGAGGGAGATGAAAGGGTAGTGGGGCTTGAACCCAAAGCCTTCATACCAAGCTACATCCCTAGCCCTTTTTATTATTTTTTAAATCTTGAGGCAGGTTTTTCCAGGCCCCTAAGTTGCCCATGCTGAGCTTGAATTTGTGATCCTCCTGCTTCAGCCTCCCAGAGTGCTAGGATTACACGTGTATACCACCATGCCTGAAAAAAAGATTCTATCTCTTTTGACAAGCATTTATGTAGAAAGTCAGGAAAAATAAAGAATACACAGATGATGGGAAGATAAAGAATTAAAATGCAAATAAATATTAACTGATAGATTATATAGTACAATGCAGAAAGGGATACATCATGGTCCCCACAGGCACATGGAAATGTGACCACTTGAAGTTTTCTTTCTTGAGGAAAAAATGGCCAGTATTGTGGAGGGAAAGATGATTTGGTTATAATCCATCCTATAAGAAAAGGGCTTTGCCCCTGCCCCCAGGAGTGCTGAGCTGGCCACTGAGGCCGGGCATGGTGGTGCACACCTGTAATCCCAGTGCTGGGGAGGCTGGAAACAGGAGGATCCCTATGAGTACGAGCTACATAGTGAGACCAAATACCAAACTACATAAAATTAAAAAAAAAAAAGAAAGAAAAGGGCTTTGTTATTTAGAATTGAATGAAAATCTGAACAATGAACAATGTTGAGGTATGTTGGCATATGTGTGAAGCACTTGAAATCACCTCTTTCTATCTATGGTATGTCAATTTTCAGGGTGTCCAATTACTTGTGAAGAACTTGCAGTTTGTATTATTATGGAAAGAACTGCTCAAAATCCCAAGCCATGCTGACCCTATTTCTCATGGTAATGACAGAGCTTGATTTCTAAATTAGAGAAATGAGCTGTCTGGGTCACAAGCGAATCCTTTAGGAATATGAGTCCATGGGGCACCAAGAAAGACTTCCTCAGGGGTGAAGAGGACATTCTCCTACTCACTGCCTAAAGTTTGGGCAAGTATCCCCCAAAGGCCCACACCTTAAAGGTGTGGCCTCAGCTTGACATTATCAGAAGATGGTGGAAACTTTAAGAGGAAGGGTTTAATGGAAGGTCTTAGATAACTGGAAGTGTACCCTTTACTGTGGTTTAAGACAGTGGTTTTCGCCCTCTGTTTGCTTCTTTGTGTCTATAAGGTGAGTGGCTTCCTCTACCATACACTTGCACTATGATGCACACTGCCTTTCACAGGCCCAGAAGCAGCAGGCCCAAATGACCTTGCAAAACTGTGAAACAAAATAAACCTTTCTACTTTTAAGTTGATTGTCTCAAAAAAATTGGTTATAGTAACAGAAAGCTGACTGATATACCTCTACTCAGTTCTGTGAATTTATTTTACTTTCTGGGTTTACTGATTATTAAGAGTTGCAGTAAGAGCCAGCCAGATAGCTCAGCAGATTAAAATGCCTGCTTAGACAGATGCAGGGACCAGGGTTTGATCCCCCAGGCATGCTGAGACAGCTATTGAGACTGGGTGTGGTGTTGCGTGCCTGTAATCCCAGTGCTTGGGAGGCTGAAATCAGGAGGATCACTACGAATCTGATCTGTGTAGTGAGACCCTATAGACACTATACTGAACACATAAAAAAACAAATAAAAATTAAAATTAAAAAAAAAGAGTTGCAATAGTGGGTGAAAGAAAAGTGGGGAAAAGATGTTAAAGGGCTCTAGATAAAAGGAACAACTATTTAAAACCTTCAAATTGTAGACATATCACAGTGGGCATTTGATACTCTCTTGAGCCCTCTGTGAGGAAGAGACCCAGCATGGGCTATTTGGGAAGCTTTCCACTGACAACTGGAGGTTAACCTGGGGCAGGGTAGGAAGGGCTTCTGGCTTCCCACTTCAGGCACACTTGAGTGTAGGCAGGACCTCCACTCACCACTTTCCGCTCCCTGCCTTCAGCCAGCACCTTCTTTTCAGCCTCCAGTTGGTCAAGGATGGTCTTCTGCAGCAGAGGGGCATTTGCTCCTCTAACCACTGCCACCAACTGTCCTCCCTGAAATGAATTACAAAGCACATGACCTCTTCCTCACATAGTTAAACCTCCCTTAAGAGACAGCAAGGGTGCTTAAAAGCGTGCTGAAGCTCAAGGCCCATTGACCCCAAAACCTCAGTCTCCACGGTCCATTTCCTGTGTGAGTTTGTTCACCTCTGCCACTACCAGGATGCCCTTGGGTTTGCTCTTAGTTCTAAAATGCTTTTCTCTTGATCCAGATGTGGTGGTACACACCTATCATTCTGGAACTTGGGAAGCTGAGGCGGGAAAATCACCACAAGTTCAAGGCTAGCCTGAATCACATAGCAAAACCCTATCTTAAATCCCTCCCCTATTAAAAATTATTTTTCTTTGTCCTTCTGATTTGCTCCTTCTATTCTAGGTCCCTCCCTTCAAAGCCTCCCTCAGGGCCACTGATGGTTAAAGAAGAGTATAAAGAAGTAATGAATGACTAAGTGACTTACACAGGGCATATTCAATTAACAGCTATCTACTGAGCACTTTCTGTGCCAAGCACTACTATGCCAAACACTTAGTAGATGAAGGTAAAGAGTACAAATATTAAGCTTAAAAAGACATAGCCACTGCCCTCCAGGAAGAAGGAAGTGGTCAGGCCAGATAACAATTAGGATACACTTACTCTGTCCGGGTAGACTGACCATCCAATGTTTTGTCTCCATTCGCCTGAGTTCAGACATTCTGTATACTGGAACTGCAGTGTACTTACTGCGTAAAACAGAAAGGTGGGCTCACACCTCCCTCGGTACTTTTCAAGGACATCAAGACAGTCTGCCTCTGCCTAAAGAAAACAAGTTGTCAGCAGGCACTTGGGTACAGTGGGTATAAGGCCACAGGAACTGCGACCTCCCCAGGAGAAGCCCAGCTCACTGTCCTGGTATTCTCTCATCACAGCTGTCTTGTCAACTCGGCAGCCCACCATTTTGAAAAACCAGGCGAGGAAGAAATGGGTCTCCCAGCTCCCACACAGTGGCTGCACCTATCTGAGGGAATTCCACCAGCTAATGTCCTTCTTCAGCCATGACTGGCATCAACAGACATGAGAGATCCTCAGACATTGCCTTCACTGGCTGGTAAACCCACCATTAGCAACACCGCAGACCCCCAGGCAAGCTGCATGCTGCATACTTTAGGAAGGTGCCAAAACTGACTCTCACAGGAAGTGCCTAGTCCTTGAAGCCCACCTTCTTAAAAGACTGGCATTAGGTTGCCTCCTGCCTTTATTACCTTTGAACCTCAAACTCATGCTGTGTATCAACAGTACCTCTGACATGCATTATGCCCCTTTATAAAGCAAAGAATGGAAAGCTTAAAACTCTGTGCTCTAATAGGTCACGATGTCCTCTCACATCCTTAACCTCTCTTGCAAGACAGTGTGCCAACCTGGAGCACTGGAATGGCGTGCATGCCTTCTCCTCACACAGCACCGAGAAACTGCCCACGCCAACGGGACCTTGGGGAAGTAATTTGGGAGGACTTTTGATAATTTCACTTTACATCTAGAGAAATTATAAAGCCCAGTGACAGTATTAACTACTGATATCTTTTGGTGAACTGAAAACACCAGTTCGTGCTTCCCATTATTTACTGTTTTCCCAGTTCGTTTTGCAGTGTTGTACCACCGTTGCCAAGAATCTTACTAATGCAAAATGTAGAAGGTCCAGGCCACACTCGATCCTCATCTTCTGGAAGAGGTTCACCACAGGTTTGCAGGGCCCACACCAGCCTTGGTAGACATCAACAACTGCATGGAACCAAGAAGCGGGGTTTATTCCTGCATGTTCCAGCCCTTCAAATGGACATCTATTTATAGGGGTGCTCACTGGGGAAGGATTTATTACCCCATCTTATTATGAAACAACATGGAAACACAGGATTCTCTTATTCTTCTGGATTCAGTATATTGACTTCCAAATATAATGAAGTAAGCACAACAGAAAAATCGCTTTCTGAAGGTGGTTCCTCTGACAACCATGTGCCTGTAGGAAGTGGTGCAGGCCAGTGTATCTGCACCAGACACATTCAGGACATGCCCAGCCTAGTCATGCATGACACAGCAGTGAGTGCTAAATTATGACTCACTGTTGGCCACATTTTAGACAAGGGATGTTGGCCACAAGGCCTTCCCGCTCACAGGGTCTGTGCCTGGCCCACACGGTGGCATTTCTATCCAGTAGCTAGAGTAGTGCAGTCATGGGCAGATAGTGGGAAAACTCCACTCTTAATACCATGACAGTGGCCTCTAAGGAGGGGACATGTTCAAACCACAGTACAGCAAAACCAAGTTTTGAGCCACATATGTCTGATCCCATAGTCCAGACTCTTTCAACTGCTCCTGGAAAAGGGCAAGAGTCATCAACTCAGGATAATTATTAATTGGTTCAGCTAGATAGCATAGTTCCACAGAAAGTGAGACCCAGGCTGATTATGAGGAGTGAGTAGGGCAGAGAGGGTTGGCAGTGGGAATATCCTTCTTCAAAAGGAAGTAGAAACATGGGGAATAAAAATTAAATGTGCATGAAAAGGATCCCACCCTGAGCCTGGCACAGAAAAGGAATAGGTGGTCTGAGTGGAGATGGCTAGAGTAAACTCAGTTCTAGATGAGCTGAATTTCTAATGCCAATCAAAAAATTAAGGACAAAGGTCACAAAGAAAACCAGACGCCCAGAAAAAGACCAAGGCATGAGAAGAATTGGGGCCTCCTTGTTGTCCAGGTAGAAGTTGACACTTTTCTGAGAATAGGACATTCACAACTGACAGGACTTAGATTTCAGCACTCTACAGGTTGCAGATGGAGGGCAAAAAGGGCACTGAGTCACGCCAAGAAAATGTCTGAAAACTCAAGAGCTTGTAAACAGGCCCATTAGGAAGGCAGAATCATGCCCCAAAGGTAAAAATTTTTTAAAAGCTGTGATTACATTAAAATCTCTATGCAGTATTTGTATTAATTGTTCACCTATCATTTCTACCAGTGTCTCATACCCTCTTGTCCTGCTTAGCTGTGGGAGAAGCTGTGGGGACAAAGAAATATTTCATACAGCTGTGGGGGAAAAGGGGAGGCATGCAGGGGTTGACCCTGAAAGACAGGGAACAAAACAAAGACACCTGGAAGGAACAGCAGAGACTGTGTGTGTGTGTGTGTGTGTGTGTGTGTGTGTCTGTCTGTCTGTCTGTCTGTCTGTCTGTCTGTCTGTGTATATACACATGCATTTGCATGTAGAAACCTGGTAAGACTTTCACATGTTAGAAGGCCAATGAAAATAAGCCAGGAAAAAACAAGACTTCCCAGATAATGGTTGGCTTTCGAAGCAAGTTTGTGTTTACTCTAGAAAGAGGGAGGAATATATGTCCTGCGTATGAGTGTCTGTAGTGTGAGTGTGGGTGGTGTGGGTCTGCCTGCCTATGGAGAAGGGCTGAAAGGAGCCCTTCTTCTGTCAGGCAGCAAAATGCCAGGAGCCATGTGCAGCAGGCTCAGCAGACTCCATGCTCAAGAGATGTTGGCCGCCATCACATGGTGCCCAGAAGGGTGGCGTGGAACATGGTAATTTCTCAAAAAGTATTGTTAGAGAAATAGAAGGACCAGTGAGATAGCTCAGTGGATTAAGCCCCAGCTTAGGCAAGCACAGGGATCAGGGTTCGATCCCTGGCACAACATGCTGCATTGACCCTACACCCAGGGGCGCTGAGCCAGTGAAAAATCCGGGTGTGCCTATAATCCCAGCACTAGGGAGGCTGAAAAACAGGAGGATCACTACGAGTCCAAGCTATGTAGTGAGACTCTGTGCCAAATACATTTTTTTAAAAAAAGAAATAGAAGTAATGATTTGTTTTATCCCAACATTGTGTTCTAGTTGCCCAAATAAGACACAGGGACACAATTGAAAAGCGTTCATTATACTTGAAGCAGGAGATGTTGGCAATACTCACATTCACAAAGCAAAATCGATACAACCAGCATAGATTTTGCAATTCGCTGGCCGCAGGCATGGGCAAGTCTGCTAAAGATTCAAGATGAAAAAACCAGCACCATTGTGTTAAGAGTCTAGAGTGGAACCAGACAGCACCCACACTGACAGGGGCCACACCAAAGGGGGTGTGCCTGATGCAGGGGTAGCCAGAGCCCCAGGGGCTCCTAGGAGGAAGAAATCACACAGAAGTTCAGGGAAGATGTCAAGCAGAAAAGCTACCATAGAGCTGGGCCTGGGAATGAGAAAACTATCTACGGGTTATGATGGACTATGTGTTCACACCACCAATAATGTGAAGAAGTGGAGAAACATGTATGTTCAGGGAAAATGTTAGCGCTCAGGACTCACCTCAGGACACAACAGTAGGAAGGGGTTGAAAAGACAGATGAAATCATAAGGGGGGAGAGTTCTTAAATACTGAATGGTTATTTGGTAGGGACTGGAGACCCCACAGGATAGAAGCAGATATGAATAGACCTATGTAGAGAAAAGAAATGAGCAGACATAAAGTGAAAGAGTAGCCAGAAAAAGCTGGTCATGGTGGCACACATCTGCAATCCCAGTCATTCTGGAGGCTGAGGAAGGAGGATGGCGAGTTCAAGGCCAGCTGGGATGTAGCGCAGTGACAGAGCACTTGCATAGCACACATAAGCTTCTGGGTTCAATCCCCAGTTAAAAAGGGCAAAAATGGCTGGGAATGGTGGCAGGGAATGGTAATCCCAGCACTTAGGTGCTGAGATGGGAGGAAGATGACTTTGGGGCCAGTGAGTTCAGCACAGTGAGTTCAGGGCTGGTCTGGAGTATATAGTGAGACCCAGTCTCAAAAAACTGGGGAAGGGAAGGGAGGGCCGTTCAGCTTAAGCTAACAAGGCGTTTTTCTTTCACCTGGTGCTCGCTCAGCTCTCTGCTCTAGAGGAAGCCAGTTCCTATGCAGCTGCAGGGAAATAAGAAAGGCAAGAAATCCATGGCCAACAATCCATGGGGACTTGAGTCTTCAAGCAGCCATGTGAGTGAACTTGGACATGGATCTTCTGAGTTCCACTAACAGCCACGGGGATGAGCTTAGGAAGCAAATCGACCCCAAATGCAGCCTTGAATTCCTCCACCTGATGCCTTTCCTGCACCCTTGCCAGGCCCTGTGCTCACTGAGCTAAGCTACATTCCTCACCCGCAGAAACTGGGGGCTCTAAGCGTTGTTTTTTGGAGCCACTAGTTTTAGGGACACTGCTATTCAGCAATACATAATGATGCATAGAGGAAAGGGATGGGGAAGCCCACAGACAGCGGCTGTTTTGTTTCCTGTTGATTACAGTACTAGTTGTGGTACCTGGCTCTCTCCATCCTCTGAATTTCAAGGGACTCCCATTTTCCTTCTAGTACATTCTTTTTTGTACCAGGCAATTAGAAGTTTCTATGACTGAGCACCAAACTATCCTGAGTACAGCAAGCAGCTCTAAAACAAGGAACTCCTGTTATCTGACATTACTGACTCATTTCCTAAACTGAATGCATGATGGTCAGGCCAGATAAAAACGCAGTATTCCCCGCTTATTCTACAATGATAGACTCCAAGACCCTCAGTGGATGCCTGAAACTTTGGCTAGTCACCAACCCTTATACAAGCACTTCAAAGCCAAGATAGTTCATCTGATAACTACTAGACCTTAATGGGAAGGCAAGATATCGAGCATGATTCATGTCCCAGGTAGACTGCATGAGATTTCACCTTGCCACTCAGCATGGCATGCAATTTAAAACTTAGGAATTATGTAGCTCTAGAATTTTCTCATTCATTATTTTTGGACTGTAGTTGACAGCAAGTAACTGAAACTGCAAAGTGAAATCTCAGATAAGGGGGGAACTATTGTATACACAGCCACAAAGAAATCTGGTCATTTATGAGGCTCCCATTACAGAAAGGTGGTACTCACTGCAGCTGTTCTCTTCATGGTTCAACACATCACTCAACAATTTAAAAAGTAATATATTTAAAAAATATTTCATTTGAAATTACCAGTTAGTCCTTTGGAACTGAGCATTTCTTCCCAAAGCTCCTGGGTGCTGATGTTGACCTAGAGCCAAAGAGGATCAAATGGCTAGAACAATGAGGGCATGAAGGGGAAACTGAGTCAACACATTGTTCTCTGAAGTACTTATGAGTAGAGTTTAAGTTGCCCTCGCTTGCTCCCCAGTCTTCCTTTCTACTTCCCTCCCCTCCCAAGGAAAGCCATGAGCCTGAAAATCATTTGTACTTGGCATTCAGTGATGGTCAGGCATTTAAAAAAATAATGTGAGATGTTCTTTGTCCAGAAGAAATATATAAAATTGCTGTCTTTAAAATATACACAATCAGGGCCAGGGAAATGGCTCAGTGGAATAAGTGCTTCCCTGGCAAGTGCAAGGGCCTGAGTTCAATCCACAGTTCTGCCAAATAAATTTAAAAAAAATAAAATATACACAATCAGAATCATACTTTAGGTTTCCTTTTACAATTTGTGTTTCTATTCAATATCAGAAATAATTAAAAATGAGCCCATTGCTATTCATTCATGTTTTTCATCTTTTTTCCAGATTTTTCTCTTATCTAAAAAGAATTCTGGTTTTTACTACATATGACTTTCAAGAAGAAATGCCTATTATCTATTCTTATTAACAGTATACATGTCTGTATACTGTATTCAAAATGTAGTATTACTTTGAAAATTCGCATTTTTAAGTACAATTTAAAGAACAGTATTTGCATTTTCAAATTCCAAGTATCTTTGAGTTATTCGAAAGTAAGCTGTCACATGATGTCCCACCTTCACCCCTGGGAATGTCCTTCATAACCACAATGCAATCATCAAAATGAAGGCCACTAATCTTTTATTACCATTTAATCCTCAGGTACCATTCAGGCTTTACATGTCATCCCAGTAACATCTTCAGTGGCAAAGTAGCTAATCAAAATCAGGCACTAGATTTATTGGTCAGACTTCTGTAGTGTAGTTTTACTCTGGAATGATTCTTCAGTCTTTTATTTCCTTGACCTCAACACTTTTGAAAACTATAAGCCAATTATTTTGAAGACTGCCCCACCCCCATCAAGTGTATTTAGTTCATGTTGATTGGTTTTCAATGATGTGGCTCGGTTGAAGTGTTAGAGAGAATCTGAGGACAGCTCTGATTTTATCCAGTCAGGTGATACCCAATTTCCACCTGCCTATTTCTGATACTTTTACCATGGGATTAAGGTGGTCTGTCAGTCTCCTCTACAAAAGAATTATCTTCTTTCCCTTGGTAGTAATAAGTTTTCATGGGGCGCTACTTTACAACTAACTACATTACAACACCATGAAAATGATAATTTCTGAATACAACTGTGCTAAAGTTTGTGTCTCTTTAAATAGAGGATATATTGTCTACAATAACTGCAGGCAGCATATAATACCTAAAGATCTTCTACTAAAAGTTCCTCTTAGGGCTGGTGAGATAGCTCACTGGACTAAGCACCTACTTAGGCAAGTAGAGACCAGGGTTCGATCCCCGGCACCACATGCCACGCTGGTCCCATCCCCAAGCATGCTGAGCCGGCCACTAAGTCAGGGCATAGTGGTGCACACCTGTAGTCCCAGCACTGGGGAGGCTGAAAACAGGAGGATCACTATGAATCCGAGTGGTATAGTAAGACCCTGCACAAAATACATAAAAGTTCCTTTTTTTAAGGAAGCATACTCACGTTTTTGTTTGTTTGTTTGTTTGTTTGTTTGTTTGTTTTAAATCAAAAGAAAAAATGGCTCGGCATGGTAGCACAAGCCTCCCTACTCAAGAGACCAAAGCAAGCCCATCAAAAGTTTGAGGCAATCCTGGACAACTCAGTGAGACTGTGTTTTAAATTTTAAATATAAAAATAAAATCTCTGGAGGCTGGGGACATAGCTCAGTGGTAAGAGTGCCCTGGGTTCAATCCTCAGGGGTACACACACACACAAGAAGTCTCTCAATGCCCTATGATTTCTGCCTGAGTCACAGAAGGAGCCTCAAATAAACTTGCCAAGAGAGAAGACAGTGTTCCTGGGTTGGCAGAGCCTAGGAGCTGCCTTCAAAAGATTTACTACTTTATAGGGAGGTGACAATTACACAGATGTCACTATGTAAGCAAGGAGGGGATGCCAGTGCTCCTCTTTCCCCAGCAAATGATCTTGTGACAAATCACTTTCCCAATTCCAGGGCTGATACCTGCTTTTTTTTTTTTTTTTAATCACAACCTTACCATCAGCCACTACTTATTGTCCAGGTCCAAGAAGAGAAAGAAAAGAAAAGAAAAAAAAGCAGACAATAGCTTACAGATTCATTTGCCCTGGATGCAAATGAAAAAAGCACTTAGTAGACCTAAAACAAACTGTTAGTAAGTGGATGCTTAAACAGAGGCGGGAAAACCTGGTCTACAAACAGAGCACAGTGTTGCAAATGTCCAAAGCCAAAGAATGTCTCATTTTCTCTAAGCAAGCTGCAACTGTGTTTCAAACAAAGTGTAACAATCACATGGAATTATGCTATTTCCTCTTGCCTTGATTTTGTAGTTTTGTTTTGTTTGTAGTACCAGACATGGAACTCAGGACCTTACAGCTGGCAGGTAGGCACTTATGCCACTGAGCTATCTCCCTAGTCTGATTTTGTAGTTTTAATCCATATCTTATGGTTGTATAAACGCTTATAAGCAAAAAAGAAAAAAGCTTCTGACGGCACGGTGGTGCATGCCTGTAATCCCAGTACGCGGGAGGCTGAAGCAGGAGTACTGCTGCGAATTTGAGGCCAGCCTGGGCTACAAAGTGAGTTCAAGGCCAGACTGAACTGCATAGTGAAGCCCTGTCTCAAAAAGACAAAATAAAAAAAGCTTCAATGTGATGTACATAAGTACGGTATAAAGTTTGTCATCACTAGTAGTCTGAAGTCATTTTTTTAAACTTTCAGACAGAAGGGTACAACATTCAAGTTTGAGAACACTGGCACAGGTGCACCCCTTCCCCCACCGCCTGGCCCCAACCCAGCCGCGAGCTGGAAGCTGGCGCCCCCTGGGCTCACCTGCAGGGCAATCTCCTTCTTCTTGCTGCCCATGGCTCTGGAAAGAAGCATAGCCGTGTCAGTGTGGGCTCTTCTTTTGGGGACAGCCTCCTTCCGCCCCCTTTTAGGTTTTTAAGAGGTAGAGGATCTCTGTAGCGGTGTGAAATGAACATCCTCGAGGTCCCGAAGCCCCCGCCCTTGGGCCGGGCGGGGACTCACCGCGGCCTGTCATGCATCACCGCGCCCGCTGGGATGTTCGGACATACAAAGGGACAGAGGACCCGGGCTGCCCTCCTGTTGCCAGGTACCCAGAGACGGCCACTGCGAAGGACTCCCGACAGGTCCACAGTCCTCCTTGACTCTTAGCGTCTCCCACGATTCTGCAGTACAGCAGCGGTCGCCCTGACGACACGGTGCTCCGCCCATGGCCACGCCCACTCCCCCAAGCATCCCCCCCCAGCCGAGGCTCCGCCCACTACAGCTGGAGCGAATTCTGCCCTCTGCCGGCAGGCTGCGGGAAAGTTCTCATTGGCTGGAGCATATGTCAGTGTCTGCACCTTGAAGAAGAGACCTTGACCCTGTATGTGCTGACAGTTGCGTTCCAGAGTCCTGCATCCTTCCGACCCAACCTCTCAGTGCTGGTGTGCAGATTTTCTCTGTCACAACAGACTTCAGAATGCATGCAGGTTTTTTTTATATACATCTATTTATTAAAAAATACTTTTGTAAAAAAAAATAAGAGGGTCGGGGAGATGGCTCAGTGGAATAAACACTTCCCTGGCAAACGCAAGGGTCTGAGTTCAATCCCCAGTTCCGAAAAAAAAAAAAAAAAGAACAGAACTAAACCAAACTTGTGAAGAAATGGACTTAGCAGGGGGCCTGGCCCTAGCTCAGTTCTTTAATTGGCTGCTTCCACCAAGCTGTCCGCCTCAGGTGGCTCTAGTTCGATCCCCACAACACTCCAGCCAGCCAAGCAAGCCCTCAGGGCATTCGGAGCAAAAAAAGAAATGGACTTAGCAGACCTTTACAGAGTTCTACCCAACACATCAGAATACACATTCTTCTCAGCTGCACATGGGACGTTTTCCATAATAGACGATCTAGCACATAGAACATGCTTAAGCAAATGCAAAAGAATTGAAATCATCCCATGCATTTTATCTGACCATAGTGCAATGAAACTGGAAATTGACAAAAGAAATCACAAATGCTCATAAACACATGGAAATTAAATAACACTGTCCTAAACAATCAATGGGTCACAGATGAAATTAAAGAAGAAATTAAACGATATTTATAATCAAATGAAAATGCAGATACAGCTTACCAAAATCTGAGACCATACTGATAAGTGACTAAGTCAAACTCACATGTGCAAACATCATATTGAGGAGGCAGGTTTTGAGGCATCTGGGTTCTTTTAAAACAAAAACTACAAACTGAACGTGCTGGCCCAGGCCTAGTAATCCCTGCTAACCAGAGGTGGAGGCAAGAAGACCTTAACTTGGACCCCAGCCTGGACTAGTTAGTGGTATAGTGATGCTGTCTCAAAATTTTAAAAGTTTTAAAAGGTCTGGAGATGAAATTTAATGCGAAGACCCTGGTTTCGATCCCCAGTACCCCCATGAAAGTAAAATCCTACAAATCAAACGCATAGTGTATCTTTCCTCCATAATAGTGAATACTCATGCTGTCATACTGTTTGGAGTTAGTTCACAAAATAAAATTCATGTCAGACACCAAACTCTGCCTGCCAGCACAAAGAAAGACAAGAGACGTTTTTTAGATTTCTTACCACACAATCTCTACTACAAAATATATTCACATCTTTGGGAGGCTAAACCTCAAAAACACCCTCCCTGGATGCTCCCACTTTATACCTATTGTCCCATGCAATTATTAATAGAAATCTCTTCATTTTCCAAAGCTCACAATTTGGACGATATACTAAAAATTAAGTATGAAAGTCAAGTGGAACAAATGTAAACACAAAACAGTTAACAAACATGGCAGATATTATCTATAATTGCTTTAAATATGAATTGTCTAAATTATACCAATTAAAGGACAGACTGTCACAATGGATTTGAAAAAACAAGGTCTAATTGTATATTATCTATAAGAAACCATTTTTTTCTAAGCATGATGGCACATGTCTGTAATCCCATCACTCAGGAGACTGAGGCAGGAGATCACCGTGAGTTCAAGCCCAATCTGGGCTGCACTGTTAGTTCAAGGCCAGCCTGAACTACATAACAGAACCCTGTCCCTAAAAAGAAAACAAAACCCACTTTAAAAATAGAATTAAGGTAAAGGAATGGAGAAAGTTATGCCATGCTAACACCAGCCAGAAGAAAGGAAAAGTAGCCATATTAAATTCAGGCAAAAGCAAACTACACAGTAAGGAAATTTATCAGAAATGAACAGTGACATTACAGAAAGAGGCCAGTTCTCTAAGATGACAACATTTAAAGCGTTTGCTCTTAACAACAAAGCGTCAGAATAGATCAGGCGAAAGCTGATAGAACTTCAAAAAAAAACAACACCTCACTATTACAGTTGAAGATTTCAACAGCCATTTGTAACAGATCGAGAAAGCAGAAAACGTGCACAGTTACAGGTGAACTGAAGAACATCAGTCAAATCGATCTAACTGACATTCCATGCCGCTTCACCCCCGAAGCACATGACTGCTAGGGTGACCCACTGAGGGAAAGAAGTCAGAAAATTCTATGTTAAGGAGTCAGTGTGCAGAGGGGAACTGGAAGCCAGGGGCTAAGCACGATGCTGCAGCGTACGCCAGCAAGCTCCATGTAGCAGCTCTGGTACGTGGTCCTGTGGCCGTCTGTAAGTGCAGGGGAATGGAGGCACTTCCAGAGCACCCGCCTCTCCCAGATCCTGTTAAATACCTGCTCTCTCTCACTTCAGCTGAGTCCACCTACATTTTTGTTTCATTCTGTTCAATGACAGTATTCTGTTCTAGGATGATATTTCCCAGAGTCACAGAGCCTCTCCCTAAAACACAGCATTACAAACTGAGTTGGCCAGACACACGGCATATCTTTTGTCCACAATGGTGGATACTCACTCTCTTGCACTGTTTGGACTCTCCTTTTGAAGTTAGTTCACAAAACAAAATTCATGTCAGACACCAAACTCTTCCTTCCAGCACAAAGAAAGAGAAGCATTTTTTAGATTGTCTCCACTACAAAATATATTTACATCTTTGCAAGGCTAAACCTCAGAAACACCCCCCCATGTCCCATGCAATTATTAATAGAAATCTCTTCGTTTTCCAAAATTCACAATTTGGACAAAATAGCAATATGAATTTTCCTCAGTGTTCTTCCAAATGAATCACCTTGGGCCACCTTTACTTTTTACAATCTTATTTTCATGAAACTTCTGTCTTTTACATATATAATGATCTGGGTCAGTGATTTGATTGCTTTGTCCAAAAACCAGGTATGCTGTCTAAATTAGACCTTCTCTGAAGGATGTGCATTTTTGTTTATTTAGTTTTCTTTGTTTTGATGCAAAGATTTCTAACTTCAGTAGTTATGGAAAATGTGTAGAGGGTGAAAAATTAAAAGCAAATTCTTAGTCTGGTGTGGTGACACACACCTGTAACCCCAGAACTCAGGAGACTGGGGCAGCAGGATCATTGGGAATTTAAGACCAGCCTGGGCTACAAAGTAAGCTCAAGGTCAGCCTGAACTGCATAGCAAGATCCTGTCTCAAAAAGATAAAAGAAGGAAAAAAAAAAATCTCCTGCAAGTCATCCTTTCTGCCACAAGGTGGTAGTTTACTCAAAAGAATCTCTTCTGAGACCCGCATTAAACAACAGAATTTTCTTTATCAAATGTTTTAGAACGCATGTGACTGTAAGACAACAAGGAGGTGGGGTGCCTACCAGTTAGCTCAGTTGTTTAAGCGCCTGCTCATGTAAAAGCAGTCAGGCACAGGATACTGCAGTAGAACTTCCACCTCTACCTGCCATACCAGACCTGCCCTTAAGGCAGACTGAGCCAACCAAAAAAAAAGGTCTTTCTCAACTTTAGAGAGCTGGCCAAATAACTCAGCAGATTAAAGCGAGGCACAGGGGCCAGGGGTTCTATCCCCTGGGCCTACCATGCCAGCCCCGCCCCTGGGGCACCTGAGCCGGCAACTGAGACTGGGCTTGGTGGCATGTGCCTGTAATCCCAGCTCTTGGGAGGCTGTAAACAGGTGGATCACTAGGAGTCTGATCTAGTAGTGAGACCCAGAACACCCTCTAGGCCCTTCCCTAAAATACAAAAAAAAAAAAAAAAAAAAAAAAAAAAAAAAAAAAAAAAAAGAAAGAAAAAGAAAAAGAAAAATATTTACTCACTTAAAGAGCAAACCATAAACCGAAGCAGTCTGTCTTTCCCCAGATAACTTCCAGTTTTTCATCCCAGATGATAAAAATGTACAAATACATCTTTATCTAACCTGACTCCTCTCTGCTTCCAGAAACAATGTTTTCTTTTGTCCACAAAGAGCAGGAAGCCCCAGTCTGGAGGAGGAGAACCAGAGCTTTGCATGCAGAGCCTGGGTTGGATCCTGGACCTACCCAAACTTGTTTAAGTGATGCCAGTTTCCTGGCCTCCCAAGTGGGGCACCTGACTCCCACCTTTCAGGAATATTCTTTCTGGATCTTTCAGTTTCTTGACAGTAAAGTTAGGGTTGTTGTTGGTTTTCCCAGCATGCACCTGTGCTGACAGCAACTCTGCTGCAAAGGTGATGATGAGGCCCACCCTGCCCCACCCTTTATGACCCTTCGATTAGTGTTCCTCAGTCACTTATGGATGAGGGTCAGGTACACAAGCCTCCTGACAGCTCGATGTCACCAAAATGACATTTGTTTATTTACTTATTTAATTTTTGAGGTATTGAAGATCAAGCTCAGGACCTTGTGCTTGTCAGGCAGGCACTTAGGCCTCTGAGCTATCTCCCCAGTCCACAAAGTGACTGTAGTGATCAGAAGTTGTAAATTTTTGATGAGGTACTTATCAACTTTTATTATATGTTCATTATGTTGTTTATCCTAAGAAATCTTTGCCTACTTCTGTGTCAGGATGCTATTCCATTTTTTCTAGGGATTAGAGGAATAATAAGAAAAATTATGAGGGCCAGCTCAGTGGACTAAGCACCTGCTTAGGCAAGCGCAGGGACCAGAGTTCAATGCCAGGCATCACATGCTATGCCGACACTGCCCCAGGGCACACTGAGCCAGCTACCAAGTCCAGGCATGGTGGCAAACATCTGTAATCCCAGTGCTGGGGAGGCTGAAAATAGTAGGATTACTATGAGTCCAAGCTATGTAGTGAGATCCTTATCAAACATAAAAAAAAAGAAAAATTATGATGAAAGAAATTATTACAAAATTAACTTTAGGACCAGGGAGATAGCTTAGTAGAATAAATGCTTGCCTGGCAAGCGCAAGGGCCTGAGTTCAATCCCTGGTTCCAAGAAAAAAAAATTAACTTTACCTTTAGCCTTATGATCCATATCAATTCCTTCCTTCCTTCCTTCCTTCCTTCCTTCCTTCCTTCCTTTCTCCAAGTCAGGCTCAAGTAATCCTCCTGCCTCAGCCACCTGATTGCCTATGATATTATAGGTGCACACTAGCATGCTTGGCTCATATTCATTTTATAACTGAA